TCTTGTGAGATAATGCTATTTCTTGCATTTCATAAAGATTATTTAGTGTTGAAGAATACTCGATGCTCTTAGAAATTATTTCTATGTTTTAGAGAAATCAAAAGAATATTGGACCTAACTCAACCTAATAAAACCGGCTTGTTAAGTGAGGATTGCCCTCACCTTATTAAGTGGATCATGCCAATATCTCCAGTTAATGTGAGATTCTAATACTATGTATAACAACTAATGAGATTAGATTCTTATCACGTTATGTCATCAAATATTTATATGTGATGGGTAACTTCTGATGAAACCGCAACCACTAAAAACTTATCCATATATTACATACATATGCATATACATTATGGAAGTGATGGTTGCCTATTACCCATTAAGCTAACCTACCAGGCTCTACCTTGTAATACTTTACAGCCATATTGAAAGGGAATAAAAAACTACAATCAAAGTCAAACTAATGAAAAAAAGTCAAAATAATTATGCCAAACGGCAATGAGTAAAGATTGCATCTTATCACATCGCCAAACGGTTATCAAACGAGGCAATTGTCGGTACGTGGTAAGTGGTAATCTTATGCTGAAAATATGTACGGAAAAACCACGCCACCTTTCTATTGGGTAAGATGAAAATAGAACTTGTACGAAGATTAGTTTGCTGATTTAAATTTTTAATTTGAGTTTAGATGTAATTTTATATGAAAATTTTTTTTATTATAATAAAAAAATTAGATGTGACAGTTTTTAAGAATTTTTTTTTGTAACAAAACTTGAATCGATAAAATAAACATAAACATGATCTCCATCTCTCGAATTTTTATCTCTTCTTTTGGAAAGCTTCCTCCATCAAACAGTAAAATAGCTCCTCAATCGAATAGAAAAAATATCTTAGCAAAAAAATAAAAATCAAATAGAAAAATAATATTGTAGCACGTTATGAGATTGAGCATTATTCTTGTAAGCAATTGAGAACAATACTTACTCCTGTTGGTACATGACAATACTTTAGCATGGAAAGTTCACATCCCAAGTCGAGTCTACAGATTGTAAAATATGATAATTTCAACTCTTTGTCAAAATGTTTGTACCAAAAAAACATAAAAATTCTTTGTGAAAATGTCACGTCATGTGCTCAGCATAAATATTATCCTTTAGTATTTGGAGAATTTCAAGGGTACCAAAAACTACTTTAATGGTAAAACACCTAATTTTTATTAAATTCCTTACATAAAATTTTATTATTTTTTAATCTAATGTGATTACGTTGTAATGTGATGTGTAACTTACCATAAACTTTTTTTTTTAGTATCTTTTAATTTTTTACCCTTTAGTCTTTGCGTTGCTTACGACCAATTCTTGCTGCTCTTCTATAAAGCTCAAAGACTCGAGATAGTTTTCTACCCAAACACAACCAACACTAACCTCTCTGTCAACAAACAAAAACTTGCATGGTCTGAAAATGAAGACACCATACATTGTAGCTTTGTTTGTTGTACTTGTTGCGCTGCTCGGAAGAAGAGTAACAAAACTCGAATCGATAAAATAAACATAAACATGAGCTCCATCTCTCGAATTTTTATCTCTTCTTTTGGAAAGCTTCCTCCATCAAACAGTAAAATAGCTCCTCAATCGAATAGAAAAAATATCTTAGCAAAAAAATAAAAATCAAATAGAAAAATAATATTGTAGCACGTTATGAGATTGAGCATTATTCTTGTAAGCAATTGAGAACAATACTTACTCCTGTTGGTACATGACAATACTTTAGCATGGAAAGTTCACATCCCAAGTCGAGTCTACAGATTGTAAAATATGATAATTTCAACTCTTTGTCAAAATGTTTGTACCAAAAAAACATAAAAATTCTTTGTGAAAATGTCACGTCATGTGCTCAGCATAAATATTATCCTTTAGTATTTGGAGAATTTCAAGGGTACCAAAAACTACTTTAATGGTAAAACACCTAATTTTTATTAAATTCCTTACATAAAATTTTATTATTTTTTAATCTAATGTGATTACGTTGTAATGTGATGTGTAACTTACCATAAACTTTTTTTTTTAGTATCTTTTAATTTTTTACCCTTTAGTCTTTGCGTTGCTTACGACCAATTCTTGCTGCTCTTCTATAAAGCTCAAAGACTCGAGATAGTTTTGTACCCAAACACAACCAACACTAACCTCTCTGTCAACAAACAAAAACTTGCATGGTCTGAAAATGAAGACATCATACATTGTAGCTTTGTTTGTTGTACTTGTTGCGCTGCTCGGAAGAAGAGAGGTTTCCAAAGCAGTAGCAGTACCATGAAGCTCTCGCAATCTGAACACGTTCTCCGACTCAATGAGGTGGAACGTCCCGGTGACAGCCCTTTGTTGCAGCAAATTAAAGGAACACAAGAACTGCCCTCGCCAGTTCGCCAAAAACCCAAGCGTTGGCCAGTTAATCAACTCTCCCAACGCCAAGAAGACGCTTTCCAAATGTGGCTTCACATTTCCAAAACGCTAGTACTCTCTCTTCTTATTCATGAGAATTATTCATGAGAAAATGTGTTTTCACGAGTGATAATATTGTTCAATTCTCAACCTCAATTCTGGTTTTAATTGGTGTGTTAGTGCCTTTTGGTATCTGAGTTTTGATGAATAAATTGTTTACTAATAATATTAGTGTCTTGTGTGGCGATGCTTCTGAGAAAGCTCCATTTTAAGTTAAAAACAATTTACTAATTGGTCGTTATGTGAGTTCATTAAAGTTTGGTCATTACATCTAATTGTTTTAAAACTAGAAATTGAAAATTGCAAAGAGCATATATATTGTGATAAAGGCAATGTGAAGAGACCAAATGATTAACTAGAGTAAATTGACAAATTGCAAGATCAGTTACTGCAGGAAATAAAATATTTGACGAAATAAAAGATAAACAAGGCTGAACATAGACAGACATTGTAATGGCTGAACATAGACATTGTAGAATTCAACAAAGGGCACAAGAACTCCGTAAGTTAATGTGGTTGCAGGCATAACTTAGCAGGAAATCTACACCTGACTTCACCACAATAACATCGTACATCAATCGTATGATTACCGTACCTGATAATTTTCCCCTTCTCTTCGGTACCAATTAGATGACTGTCTGAAAAACTATCACTAGAAATGGTTATCACTAAAATGTGTCAAGCTAAAGAACAATAGATTCATTTTCTCAACCAAAGACCCAGTTCCAAAGGCTAGTCCTGCTACAGTACGAGCAAATGAGAAAAGCAATATATCAACTAGCATGTACAAGCGGGAGAAAGAAGTTATAATTGAAAATAATACAAAGCACGAACAAAGACAGGGCACTAAACACAGTGACAGCACAGTATTATGTATCCAATTATATGGCAAGCTTGCAAGCATACTTTTTCATCTATCCCTCGTAACGGACCGTTTGATAATATAGGATCTGTGTAACTTTCATTCAACAGAAATCTCCAAAACTGTCGGAACTAACCTACTTAACATCGTACCATATCTAGACTTTCTGGAATTCATTTGCTTGCTGTTGGTGTTGCTGATTTTGTCCAGAGTCAGAAGTGGTCATTCCAAGGCCTTCATTATGGTGCTTTTGCCATCCACCAGTATCGACTTTAGAATGCGTCCAGTAGTAAAGAACAGACCCCAGAAGTGATAACAAAGTAAGAGCAGCCCCGGCAGCAAAAACACCCTTTCGTAGGGTGGAGCACGACAAGTGATCTACCTTGAAGATTCCTCTGTACCTGGTATGATATGCGTTCTTTGCTGATCCCGCCAACAAGCATGCCTCGGCTCCCAAAAAGCTTGTCCTAGTATATCAGTTCAAATCTTTATTTATCAGAATGAAATATAAACTTTAACAAACGGCCATTTGGAGCCACAGGTCTATGCATTTCTAACGAAAAAGCAGTTCTTTTATGTTTCTGGTAGAAGTTTTAAGTGTTATAGGGATAGAGGATGGCCGATCGAGCAAGGTAGTGCATCTTCAGGTGGCATATAGATCCCTCACAAAGAGGATTGCTCATATACCCGCCCAGTGTGATGGGACCCACTTAAACCCAAAACCAAGTTGAAGAGAACCAGCAGTCTTACCACTCTACTAAATAACCAGTGATGGCGGACAGTTCTTCAATTACTTTAGTCACACAAGTGGCGATATTATCGTTTAATATTAAGCATGGAATAAAAGCATGTAAAATAGTATTTACTTGCAAAACCTATATGAAGTGCCTTTTCAGTATCCTAAACGACAAAATACTGTAAGAAAAAGTCACCATAGGTTTGACACTTCGTCTAGAGTACCAAAATATCTTAAACACCTTGATTATGGTGCAGATGACAGGTGGACAAACTAGGTTCCCATCCAACTAATTTAAAATTTCAAAGAAATTACAAGGAAACAAAAAGCAAAGTAAAGCCAACATACAGTTGTTCATAATGCGTTCAAATCTAAATCATGCCAGACCCACTTTTCTTTCCCATATTCCAGATCAATACCAAAAGTTAACACCACCCAACACCTTTAATCACTCAATAGGATAATCTAATCTACAATGCAACTTTATCCCTTTTCTAAAACACCCAACATTTTTAACCACATAAAATAAACCTCAAAATATACTGATTTTTTTTTTTTAGTGAATTGGATTAAAACTTAATCTCAACTTGGAGAAGTGACCAAGTTGCTTCATTTCAGTCCTCTCTAGGATCATGTTAGTAGATGTGGAGAACCATGTGCCTTTTTCAGTTCCCATCAGAAAACAAAGTTTCAGTCGCATAATACTTTTATATTTGGCTGTATTCAGTAGGTGGGATATATTTAATAAGAAAACCACACATGGGACCTAGTTATTTCCCCCCATGATATGTCAAATTCAGTACTAACCCATCTGATATAAAACAAAAATCAACCAAAAAATAAAACCCCCATCAGAAAAAAAAAAAAAAAAAAAAAAAAAAAAAAAAAGAGAGAAGCAAAAAATGGGAGATTAGGAGAAAATATTGAAATTACCAGGAAACTATGAAGAAGAAGACAGCCCAAGTGGTGGAAGTCCCCGTGATTAAGCCCCTTCCGAAGCAGAGACATCTGGTGACGCCGTTAAGCACCGTTTGGCCAAGCAAGAGAAGCCCAAACGCCGCCAGTCCGTACACCGTCGACGCGTCGGAGTCGTACACGCAGTACGTGTACTCGTCGTACTCGTCAGGCACAACCTTAGCCTTCACCCCCCCAAAAAAAAAAAGAACAAAAAAAAGCGTCAATAAACTTCAGATACATATATATAGTAGATTCACACTGAAAAACAGAGAAATGAGACCCCAAAAAAAAAAAAAAAACTTACCAAGCTACGACGTCGTTCAGCTCCGACGGCGAGAACGAAGGCTATGAGGTGAAGCGAGACGACGATGGCCAAGATTGGGACTGAGACCGCCATTATCCTCTTTCTCTCTCTCTCTCTCTCTCTCTCTCTCTCTAGCTCCCTTCTCCGTTCTCTCTGTGTGTGTAAAAACAAATATCTTTAGACTTAAGCTCGGCTTTTCGTATGAAAAATCGGCTAAAGCTAAAGCTAGTACTTGATTTTAACTTCTTTTTTTTTTTCCCTTTTTTCTTAGAATTAAGTGAGCTTAATTGGGCTACTTGCTTTCTGGTTGTGCTTTTGTGGATGCTTGTGTTACATGGTTGATTAGTGGGGTTTTGGTTCTCGTGTTTTCCGGACCAGATTTGAGTGTATAGAACTAGCCGACGAGCTCGGGAGAAAGCGAGATTTGAAAACGTGGCGTGCTTTGGTTGGTTGAGCTTTGTAGAGTTTGGTAGTTGTGTCCGCATCATTTATACTTTTGTGGGACCGTGAACCGACTGCCATTTTGACAAATGAGTCTCGAGCGCTGGACTGCGGTTGGTATGTCGGAGCACCGGTTTTCCGGTTTCGTTTACCGGTTGTAGTAGGTCACCGCCTGAAACAGCACAGCTAATGCCTGGGCTCTTCCGTTTTCATTAGCCCATATCAATTTTGGGCCAACCCATGAACTGTTTAGGAAGTAGGTGGGATAATTACGGAGCATCCCAGGGAAATTAAGGGAGAATGATATAAGTAACATATTTGATAGGGTGCTTAGTAAATTAACGCACAATTTTTTAGGAGTTTTACATATTTATCCCTTAAATTTGTATAGTTTTAGTAATTTATCTCTAAAATTTTTAATTTTGACAAGTTGTTTCCTCAATTTGTAACTTGTTGCAATATGTTCCATTTTAACAATAATTGTGTTAAATTAGTGTCGAAAAAACACGTTTAACGAAAAATTTTAACATCTCGATTAAAATGTGACATAAATCTTTCAATTTCTCAACTTTTAATCCTTTAAATCTAACAAAAAAATTTGAGCAAATTTAGTAAAATTTAGTAAAATGAGGTTTATTGTAACATTTCTACAAGTTTATTTACTCGTAAATATGATATTTACCGGTCGCTAGCACCAGCGATGACGTTGGAGACCAAGAGAGAGATAGAGAAATTGAGAAAGGCGATTGGCTAAATGAGAAACAAAATAAATGAAAACCCTACAGGTACAGATAAATTTAGAAATGAGTAAGTTTTTAGAATGAAAATATGCTATAATTAACCAACATAAAAAATATGCCATAAACTTCAATAGTTTGTATAAATATGCTATTTGCTATATTTTTTCATAAATTAATGCCAGGAAAATTAGGTTAGGATCAATTTATACGAACTCAAGTTTGCTGTCTAACTTTTAATATCAAAATTGGTGTCTAACTAAATATAATATAACATATTATTTAGGTCACGTTCTTTTCGCTGATTCGAGTTTAGAATTTGAGTTTTGCTACAGTAAAAAGCTCTCATAAACAATCACATTTAACTTTTTTGTTACAGTAAAAAACTCTCACACAACATCACATCTCAACTCGAATTAGCGAACCGAACGGACCCTAATAGATCTAAATATCAAAATAAGAAAAAGTTAGCTAAAATGATATTTTAATTTTTTAAATGATTTGGCACAATTCAATTAATTAGACCCTATAAGAAAAAAAAACTGACAAATTTTCTAACACGTGGACCAATAAGACTAAAGCACCCACAAATGAGTTGGGTTGTTTTTTAAGTACTGAGTTATGGTTTTTTTAGTTACATTTTCCTTCTCCTTTCTCTTTCATCCCTCTTATTTCTTCTCTCTCTCCCCATCTCCAGTACCCCATCAAATAGCTACTGTATAATTTGTCGCAGCCAAGCTCCATACCGGTCTCCCTTCCTCAACAACATCGCCATAACCTTGCCGGCGAGAAGATCCAACGAAACTCCATTAATCCCCGCTATTGGTGGCGTCCTCCACCGCCACATTTCCCGCCTCCATCGTCGTACGAGATCGCACATATCATGGAGGATATTTTGACTTCTATAGAGATCTCCCGCTAGAGGTCTGTCACCGCCTCTGGGAATCCTCCTTTTCTAATGCGACCTTCACCTCCATGAGTAAGGACCCTGACAGAAGCAGATTGATGTGCGTACAAGTTGGGGAGAACTGCAACCACCTGGCTTTCTTAAAGCTCCACCACCTTAAACCATTATTGCAATCACTGTGTCACTGGCGCTGAACATCTATGGAATCAACGGATTTAGGTTTTTTTGCGTTGTTTTTTTTTTTACTGAGATTTTTGCTTTTTAAAAGTGAATTTTTTGTGTTTTGTATGATTTTAGTGAATTTTTGAGTATTTGGTGAGAAGACCGTCGTCAATACCAGCAGTTTATCACTTGGTATGTATCATGGCCAAAAATTAGTTAGTATTTTGTCTGAATACTGGTATTATGGCCAGATATTGATCGGTACGGTATCTTAAAGGTGTATTTAGTATATATAAAAATAGTGTGATGAATTGACCATAGTAATATCTGTAAATATTTTTTTAATTTCTAGCGTAAGTCATTCTAACTTCAAAAATTTGTGGTAGTAAAGAGCCCGAAGTACCACCGGTGGTGGTGGAACGTCCAACTAAGGCTCCCCAAGTTCTCCAACTCAAGTTTGATTCTTACTCGTCCCATATAGGAAGAATTTTGCCAAGAACCGCCAGTCAAATATTCTAATGCAGAGTAGAGGTGTCAAATGGGCCGGGCCGTCCATGGACGGCCCGGCCCAGCCCGTAATAGTGCATGATTCAGCACGGCCTGGTTCGTTACTGTTACGGGCCGTGCCGGCACGGCACGTGTAATGGACTAGGGCTAGGCCTCAACTTCTCAGCCCGCGGCCCAAGCACGTGGAGGTCCGCGGCACGGCCCTTATTTGGCCCGGCCCAAGCCCTTATTCGGCCCGGCCCAAGCCCGCGAAACGGCCCACGAAGAAGCCCATTTCATTTGGTCCAGGGGGCCCTTCACAAGCCCAACGTTCAGCACGTGATGGGCCTCCCGTTTGGCCCGTCACGTGCCTCCCTTTTGGCACGTGATGGGCCAAACGGGAGGCCCGTCACGTGCCGCACGTTGGGCCCACGAAGGGCCCAACGGAAAAAAGCTGAATTTCAACCCTAAAATCCCCTATAAATACCCTTTAATTCCACCATAAATCCCACACAACAATTCACTCTCATCTTCTCATCTCACTCTCATTCTATCTCTCAACTTGTCTCTTTGATTTTGATTCTAAGCTTTTTTCTCGCATTCATTCATTTTCTAGCTCTTTCATTTACAAAGTTCAATCAAGTTCTATCAATTTCCAGAAAATGGCCTCAACAACTTCCCTGATTTCACTACTCTTCCTGAGCTTGGTGAGGAGACATTTTTTGAGGAAGAAATGATACCTTCCAACCCCACCCCCACTGAACCAGAAAATGCTCCAGTGAATAATGGTACAGTACACAACGAGGAAGCTGGAGAACACAGCAGAGGAAAAAGACCGCAAACTTCTCCGGCATGGCAGCATTTCACCGAGGAGCCCTGACCAAATCTAAAAACAAGTGAGATGGAAATTCGTGCGGTATGTAAATATTGTAAAAAGCACTTTTCTAATAAAAAGGGTGGGGGTCATCTAGATAGACATTGGAAAGTATGTCTACCGTTGCACCAAGGTGGGAGTGTGGACTCCCGCCAACAAACACTATCACTCACATCACATGGGTTACAAAATTTTACATACGATGCACAACGTGCTCATGAGGCACTAGCTAAATTTCTAGCTAGTGCCGAATTGCCATTTTCTTTTGCAGATGATGCCTCCTTCGAAGAATTCAACTAGACAGCCTTTTGCCCACAATTTAAACAGGTAAGTAGAAACATAACTCGTTCTGATTGCATGAAAGTTTTTTATGCAATGAGACAATCTCTTGTTGATAATTTTAGGACTTTTAATGCTATTGTGTCTTGCACTTCTGATCTGTGGGAGGGGTGTAATAAAACTGGATATTTATGTGTCACAGCGCACTACGTTGATGACGATTGGGTTTTACAAAAAAGAATAATTGGTTTTCGTTTATGTCCATATCCTCATAACGCAACAGCTATTTTTAGTACAATAATGGAAATTTTTGGGTTTTATGGGATAGAAGATAAAGTTTTAACAATTACTTTTGATAATGCGTCAGCTAATACAGCTGCAATTAATTTGTTTAAACGTAGTTTGAAACCGGCATTTGGAGGGGAAATTTTTCATCAACGGTGTGCATGTCACATAATTAATTTAGTAGTTCAGGCAGGAATTGAACATATCTCAGCTAATCTTACAAATATTAGAGAATCATTATTCTTCATATCTAGTTCTGGAGCTCGGCTCTAAGAATTCAAACAATATTGCAGGAACAGCCAGATGCGCCCAAGAAAGTTTTCAACTGACGTGACACATAGGTGGAATTCAACATATTTAATGTTGAAGGCAACACTCTCATATTCACAGCTTATCACGACATACGTAAACAGTAAGAATGATCAAATTTTAATTTTCGATCCTGATTGGCAGATTGCTGAGTATTTTTTAAAATTTTTAGAAGTTTTTTACAATGCTACTGAATTACTTTCTGGAGTTTATTATCCTACTGTACATTTAGCTTTACATCAACTATTTAATATTTCAGAAACATTTTCTTATTATATGGATACATAACTTTTTGGAAATATAGTTAATTTAATGGAAAATAAATTTAAAAGTTATTGGTCAGGTTGTCCTATGTTATATGCATTGGCAACCATTTTAGATCCTAGGTACAGAGTAGATGGAACTGAATCATTGATGACTGCTACCGCAGAGAATTTAAAAATAGATATGCAACTAAGTATTACTGACGCTAAGAAAATGTTAGAAAAAGTTTTTAGTTTGCATGAAGCAAAATATAGCACAGGTCAAAAAGAACAAGAAACTTCGTCGTCAACTACCAGTTCGGGGCCTAAAGGATCGTCGTGGAGTTTCTTGAAGAAGAAAGAGAAAACGACAGAATCGTCCTCAACACAAGCGTCTACAGAACTAGTCTAATATTTTGAAGCAAATTTTGTAATCGATGACAACAAACTAGACATCTTACAGTGGTGAAAGAGCAAGATAGATCGTTTTCCAACACTGTCCATAATAGCTCGTGGCATTCTGACAACTCCAGTGTCAACAGTAGCATCGGAGCAAGCTTTTAGCGCAAGCAACCGAATTCTTGACGAGAAGAGAAGCAGACGGCATCTAGATATCTTGGAAGGACTAATGTGCGTTAAAGA